GCATACAGAAAAGGAGCAAGAAAACTGCTTGTTTACCATGATAAAGGCCCTAAGCCCTGACAGAACATAGCTGTTCAGAATCCTTAACCAAATAATTCCAGGTATGTATTATTCCAAACACATTCTCAGAAAGAGGAAAAAGATCCAGCTTTTGTAACTGAGATGTGATCATTGGTAGGTTTGATGTGAATGACCCCCAGTTTTGCTTAGTCTTCATCCCTGTCAAAATTTTGGAGGAAGGTAAAGTGAGGAGGTCAGTCAAAAGAGAGGTCATTGTTTGGTCATGCTGAATCCTAAATCCACTCTAACAATTTAAAGGAATCTCACCAGCTGATTACGTGGTATCAGAAGAGAGATTGGTAGCTACTAGATTATCACAGAGAAGGGTGGAATTTCTCTTCTAAGATATTTATGTTTTTAAACCTGAAATGTAAAAGATGTCCTCTTCAGAAAGCTAAATATTTGCAAAGGCATACTTTCTATACATCTTGCCACATGAATGCGTGGAGAACTGAAGCTTCTCTCCTTTCCTCTCTAAAATATCTTTTCACAGTCAATTTTAGTCTCTGTTTCCTTGGAGAGCCAGTTTCCAAACTTCACAGCCTGCATGTTTTGCATTCCTATGTACAGAAACATTTCCCCAGCATTGCAGACACAAACAGAGATGTGCATCTTCCTTATCTTGTCTTGGAGTTGCAGCAGTTGAAACCTGTTTGTTACAGAATTAATACTGGACAGTTGCATTCTCCAGCAGAGAATAAGTATCTACAAAACCTGACTCTGGGAATCAGATCTGTACTTTAGGCTTTAATCCTTAAAATGAGTTAATTCTGTAGGTTTTTATCTAAGAGGACTTCCTGTAAGTGTCTGATCCTTTCAGTGCTTCCACGTCCAAAGATTGATAAAACTGAAATTGGAAGAAAAAATGGTGAGTATTGTGTATGTACAAGAACCTTGTCCCAGCAACTTGGCATGAGCAAATGGTGACCAAGGATTCCAGTAGTATGAAGCATTACTGAAAAGCATTGTTTTCTGTCCGTCAGTGTAAACATCAGATTTTAATAATAGTTAAATAATTATTTGGGTAAAAATTCCAACTGACTTTTTAATTTGTAGATTAGTTTACTTAAATTACCTGTTGTGTTCTCCATAGTATTATTATTCTGAGTTTTCTCTCTGAAGGCTCTCATTTCAATGGTTTGCTAATAGCTTTTTTTTTGTATACATGTCCACTGATTTCTGACAAATTAGTGATTTCCTGGGTTAGTAAAAGCTGAAGAGAATCACAGAACAGATTGGCTTGGAGGGGACCTTAAAGATCATTTCATTCCAACCCCCTGCTATGGTTGCTCCAAGCCCTGTCCAACCTGGTCTTGAACACTTGCAGAGATGGTGTAGCCGCAGCTTCTCTGGGCAACCTGTGCCAGAGCCTCACCACCCTCACAGAGAAGAATTTCTTCTTAATGTCTGATCTAATACTGCTTTTTCCAGTTCAAAGCCATTCCCCCTTCTCCTATCCCGATGTGCCCTTGTCAGGACTCTGGTTCTCTCCTAAGCCCCCTGTAGATGCTGTAGGACTGCTTTAAGTTCTACCCATAACCTTCTCCAGGCTGAACAACACCAACTCCCTGAGCCTGTCTTCATGCAAATAGCTATTTGATGTTCACAAATCCAGTAAAACAGTTTGTTTACCTTATTTTCCCCTTGGTAGCTTGCATTCTTTTGCTTTTTTGTTTAGTTTAGAGTTAATCAGTAGTTTCTGAATATATATCGAGAAAACATTTGATTACTTTGTTCTTTCCCTCCATTTAAAGCATAAAGCACAGTTATTTTCTGATGCTGTTTGCTCAGAGCTTAGAAATAAAATTAACATTATGCTTACAAGAACATGGAGGGGGTGGTTCTAGTTCATGCAAATGCACAAATCTTTTAACTCTTTTTCAAAAGGACTAAGTAGTTATGGTTTCATTTTAATCTCTGGAAAGGAATTTTGAGATCACTTTTTATGTTTGTTTTTTTGTTTGTTTGTTTGGGTTTTTTTGTGGCAGTCTTCAGAGCTTCAGAAGTGGGAGTTATCCTCTGCAGGAACAGTACATAGACTTCGGCATTTATTTGTTTAACACACTGACTCTGACACTGTGCTCCTGTAAGGTATCATCCTGATTAAACTCTGCAGTTTACCTGTGAACTTCCACTGCTCTAAGTGTATCTCACCCTCTTGACACCTTTTTAAAGAGGGAACTGTTAAACCCCATTTATAAGTGAAAAAGCAGAGACAGGGACCAAGTGATTTCCTATAGGTGGCAGAATGATATGGGAATAAACAGGAAAAGAATTAGGAATGCTCCTTCCTACACGAGGCAAATTTTCACCAGTTACTGTTGGTAACATCCTTGTTCTGTATGTAAATAGTATTTCACAGATAAGAAGTTATGAAATAAGAGAAAAATAGTAGAATAAGCAGCTTTCTTTCTCCTTGAACTTACTTATTGAGAGGTTTATGTCAGTCTTCTGCCAGTGACTGTGTTCTTTTGTTATCACACAGGTATTTCTTTCCAAAGTTCACTTTGTGCTGGACTGAGTTTGTAGAACTCAAGGTGCATGTGCCCTGTGAAACTCTTCAGTATGTTGAAGCCAACTATGGCCCAGACTGGAAGGTTCCTGTGAAGGTGTGGGACTGGAAGAGCTCCCCATCCAACGTGCAGGACAACGGTGTCTGGCCTGTCAATGAGTGGGACGATGTCATCCAGATCTACTGACCCCTGACTGCTGTCAAAACATGCCTGCTGCCCTCAGAACTGTCTACTTGTGATTCCCTGTTGCCCAAAGGCATCAACATCCATTCCTTTTGTAACTTTTCATGTGTTTCCTAAAGAGACCTTTACCTTCTTTTTGCTTAACAGGTATTTTTTCATCACCTTCACTATGCGTTTTCCAGGTGGTTGAAGGAGAAGATGAAAGGCACATGAAGAGAAGGGAAGCTGAAAGAAAAGCTGCAGAAAGGGAAGTAGAGAAGAAATGTTGCAGTATATGGGCAGTTGACTGTTTTAAGTGTAAACAGTGGCCATGTGGCATCAACTTTATTGAGATCATCAAAACCTTCAGACTGTTCACTTCTCAAGCTTCAGAGAGGGTTGAGATGGAAAAATCTCAGGTAAGTCCCTCTTTTTTCAAAGGAGATCCTGTGAATATTCGTCTTCTAAACACTAGAGTTACAAGTACCTCATATGTCCTTGATTTGAGACTGACACATTCCTACAGTAAGCAACAAATTGCTCTTGGGAGTGGAGTGTTTCTATTGCATAGAACCTATAAGGCCAACCTGCTTTACATCTAGGAGGTAACAGTGTAATACTAAATGAATGGATGGAGAAACTATCCACATTGGACCTCTTCCAATCTGCTTTCTTCTTTTTTAAGAACATGAAGTTGCATGCTGCTGGGATGTATTTCCCACGAAAAGAATAAAATTCTGGTTCTGACATCCCAGTTCTTGAGTTCTCCCTGTGAAAGTTTTGACTGGGTTTCAGAAAATTAGAGCTATCCCAGCTGTCTTGTAGGTAGAAATGGGGGTTGTTCACAGTTGCCTGTTTCACATGGACTTACAGAACAGAGGCCTCTGAGCACTGCAGATCTTCCTTCTCAGCATCAGCAGGACTGTGTACAAATACTAACTGGTTCATCAAATTTGTAGCAGCATAATTGAAAGTGAAATGTCAGTGCAGTATGAGGCTTTGGATGGGAAGAAAGTGGAAGCCGGACAGCTCTCTCCTGCTTCTGACTGTGCTTTTGGTTAATGAAGTGAGTTTTCTTCAGCAATTTGGAGGGGGATATTCACTTTTAAAGGAGTGCGTGTCCAAGTTTGTTCCAGTCGTGCTGTGCAGAGGACAAAAAGGGCACTGGAGCTGCTTGTGAGTTACAACTACAGTACATGGTACAGACCCAGGAGTACTGGTGAACCAGTATCAAGGCACTGGGTGGAGCTCATATTTACTTGCAGCAAACTCATATCTGTTCATCTGCAGTTTCTATCCATGTCCAAAGTGTGTCCAGTTCCAGACAGGTGGCATAGCCACGGCCCTGTGACGGTTTTACTGCTGCATCATTCCAGGTGTGCTCTGGGGCTTCCCTGCCCTTTGTACCCTGGAGTGTGCTGCGAGCTTTTTCCTGCCAGTCCCTTCAGTTTCAGTTTCTCTTGCCACTGGAGCTCCCAGAGTGAATTATTCAGCTTCTGGTAGCGACTTGTCATGATGGCTCTTCAGTTGGTATGGTAACTTTGTTAGCTTGCCTAATTAAGAAAAGAGAGATGTGAAATCCTGCTAACTTGGTAAACATATAAGGGATCATTTCATATAAGGGATAATTTCTCAGGTAGAATTTTCTGTATTTTTCCTTTAAGTTAAAAAAGCCAATGCTCTTAAGGTTTTCATTTCATAATTCTGTTGTCATGAACTTCTTTGTTTAATAACATGCAAAAAGCCTGTAAGTTTTTCAAATGTGATAGATGCTTAAGAATGAAAGAAGAGATACTGTCAGAAAATTATAATCCTGTCAAATTTTTGAGTTTGTATTTGTAGATGAAAAGACTAATGGAAAAAAATGCATGTCCCTGAAAGGGAAAATGTCTTTAACAATTGATTATACCTGTAAGGTATTCTTCAGGTTAAAATATTTTCTCTTCAAAAGATACAAGTGTGTGTTTAACACTGATTAAAAGAAGAAGAGTCTAATTTGCAGTTCAGGATGCTGTTTCATCCTTTGTTTTGCCATCTTGGGCAGCATTTAACACACTTCATTGCAGTTACCGTGACATAATGCACAGAGAAAAATTTTGAACTGTTTCTTACACTGCTTAATTGACTGTCTTGAGCTTTTATTTTTTAATAAAGATAACTTGGACACAAAAAAGATATCTGGCAGATGCCCACTGGTAGTAGAAAGGATCCTTCAACTGCACAAACAGATTGCACTTCTGGATGTCTCCTGTCATGCTTTGTGCAGTGCCCTGACCAGAGATCTCCTGCTTGGACACAGATGGAGTCCCAAGGGGTGGTGTAAACATCATGGAACTGCTGCTGTTGGAAAGTCTGGGGCTGTAGCCTCACCATTCCAATAGAAAGAACAAGATCTAGGCACGTTTCCTGCTAAATTCTCCTGAATTGCCTCATCTGAAATGGAATCTTAATTCTGTGTTACCTTCTTAACTTACTAACCACCTTCATTTTGAAAATGCCCTGCAGAGGAGGACAATTCCTAAATTCTGTTAGTGGTCTTGAACAACAACACATGAAGTCCCTTGACTTTTCTGCAGGAAACAAGGCACTTTAGGTATGTGCAACTGTTGAAGAAACCAAAATGTTTGAAGCTACAGAATAGAAAGAACCAAGAAAGATTGAAGAAATAGCATTGCCTGAAGAGAAAGGACCATAAAAGACCACTTTCAAAAGCCTTAAAAGGTGGTTGCAAAAAGGAAGGGGTGTATGTGTTCCCTTTCTATGGTTGGTAGGAAATAAAAGTAAATGGGAGGAATGCCAGTTGAAGCACCTGTGTGGAAACTGGAGTATTTTACTTGTGGAAATGTGTAAAACCTCTCAGAACATATCAGACAAATGTCAGTCAAAACTGACTGTAGTTAAGGATTGACTGTAGTTAATCCTGTCTTCCAGCTGGGGGGGAGTTCGTATTTCTAGGAACTAGTGCTGTAGTAGTTTTCCATAACTTTCTGCTTTTACAAAATGGAAATTGGAACTGTATGAGCTTAAGAAGGGTTCTATTTCTAGAATCAGATACTAGAGGTCATACTGACAGTGATAGTGAATTGCCAGTGCTCTGTGTTTGAGTCTTTCCCTGCTGTCCAAGTGAAAAAGAAGCAGCTGATCTCTTTATGCTCTTTCTCTTGAAACATAGTCTGTGAGATGTTGGTTCCTGGTGTTAAACAGCCTTCATCCTCTGCTGCTTTAGAATTCTCTACCCTCATCATAAGTCTTAAATCTGTCAGTTCAAGAGAAAACCGATCTATGCTTTGCACTGTCAGTTGGAGTTGTGTGTTTTGCACAGCTGAATGCGATCTTAAATGAGTAACATCTGTGTAATAATGCAGATACCTCCCTTCCAAGGACTGGCTTGTCACAGTGACTTTCAGGAACTCGGTTCTGTCCTTCATTACTCATTGTTGTAATTCTCTTGAGTTCACACTTGAGTTCTCTTGAGTTCTCTCAAATTCAGAGGCAGCTACCTCACTGTCTACAGATTTCACAAAATATTCTGAGTTGGAATGGTCCTACAAGGATCTTACGCTTGTCTTCTCTCTCATCATGTGTTTCTGTCATACTGTGTGTTGCAGAACAGAACATGGGAACTTGAGAAAGCATGTGCAAGCACATCAAAGCCTGTCTGGCACTTGTTCTCAATGATCTACATCAGCTGTTTTGGTAAAGTGGCACCAGCAGCCCATTTACATCAGCAGACAATCTTGCTTAATAGCATTAGATTTCCTGATGGTGAGTTCTTGAGTTCTCTACTGAGTTTTATGCAGTTTTATGCATAAATGTTGCACTGATTCGGCTGCTCCAGAGCACATGAGTTATGAGCTGGATGAGTCTTAACCAAACCCAAGTCACTGCTGTAATTGAGGGGGTGGATAAGAGCTTTCCCCTTGAAAAAAGGAAGGTACAATGGAAGTTTTGTCCTTAAAGGACAGAAACTGACTCTGTTGTGGCTGAGTCTGTTTTCCTGAGATACATCTTTCCTACAGCTTGAAAGAGAAGTCACATATTTTACCTGGAACATACTAGGGGAAGTATCATGCCTGGTGCTTTGCAGATAGGACTGTGTGTTCATAATGTTTCTGTTCTGGCCCTAAAAATTCTGAATACCTCCTGTTGTCATGAGAGTAATTAGGTTGAATGTTAGTAGGTACAGTGTGCCTGTATATTGGGCTGCAAGGGCCTGTCTGACAGTGCAGTGATGTGCACCTACACTGGGATTAGTTCTGACACAGGAAGCAATCAGAGTGGTGTTTGGTAACATCCTGAATGCGCAGAATAATGTTGGGACCAGGGGAAATCCAGTGGGATGTAGGAAGAGTGACATGGAACTTTTGTTACTCTGTTATGGGGGCTCTGAGCAGCCTGGTCTGGTTGGAGATGTCTCTGCTCATTGCAGGGGGGCTGGATTAGAGGTCCTCTAAAGGTTTTTTCCAACCCAAACCATTCCGTGCCCCTTTGTATTTCAGTGTAGAATCAGTCCTGGTGGACAGGTTGAGGAGTGTCTGAAACCACATATAAGGAAGAGTAGAAAGAGCTGTGGTTCCTGCTGAGAAGGATGTGGCAAGTATAATATCCCATTCACTTGGTTCATAATGCAAGAAGCTTAAATTTCACCAAGAAAGATCAGAATGAGCTGCAGAGAATGTTTGTGGTATTTAAGAATGGGAATAGTTTGGGGAAGGGTTGTATTATTTCTATCCCTGAAGGCCTTTAAGAATGTGTTTGGTTGGTAAATGGAATAAACTTGTGTGACTGTATGTGTTCTTGTCATTACCTGGAAGAGGGCCCAACTGAGTTTTGGGAATTATTTTCTTATTTCTTTGTTTTCTTTTGATTTCTTTATTTTCTTACTTTTTGGTTCTTTGGGTTTTTTTTAATTGTCAAGAAAGCAATATTTGATCTGTGCAGTTGAGCCTGCTTTGAGACCCAATGGAACATCTTTATCTCTTGAGATATGGATAGTGTTATCAGGCTAGAGGTGCTATTCTGGCATTGGCAGATCATGTCCAGCTCTGCATTCACCAGTACCCCCGTCCTTCTGCGAGTGCTCTCAATCCACACAGTGTCCCAGCCTGTATCCATGTTTGGGATTGTTTCGACCCAGGTGCAGCAGCTTGCAAGCCATCTTGTTGAATCTCATGGGGTTGGTGTGGGCCCACCTCTCAGGCCTGCCAGGGTTGTTCTGATGGTATTCCTTCTCTCTGGAATATCAACCACAACACTGAGGTGGTTGTTACCTGCAACTTAGCTGGGAATGCATTCAATCTCACTGTTCATGTCCCTGATAAAGATGTTAAATAATACTGATCCTAGTAGAATATAATAGAATATAAAAAGGCAGGAGGATGATCTGAGTCATCCTCCCTTCTGCTCACAGTGAAAATATGTCCTGAGTCTTGGTAACCATTTCTGTGCCCATGAGAAACCAATATGGATGGGGATAGCAACACCAACTACATTGTTGGAGATACCCATGGGCATGTACTATGGGTTTTCATTCTGTTCCAATATCAATTTAAGGAAGTTTTATGATGACTTTGATGCGATTTGGTTTAGGCCCTCAATGTGAACTTGGAATGCCAAAATTATGCCCTTTAGACAGTTGTGGTGCTTCAGTCTCTGCTTCTCCCCAGCTCAGCCATCTCAGTTCCTTCCACTTGTAAACCAGGATAAGCTAGGTGGCTCTTCTTGACATAAAGCAACTAATTACAGCACCTTTTACCCAGCCCCTTCCTTTCACAAAAGTCAAGACTTTTGAGTAAAGCAGCTTCTACAGTGAACTGCTGTTGAACTGTGTGGCCTCTCTTCTTGAGCTGACATAAGCCCTTGTTTATCACTGCCACTGTCCAGAGCAGTGTCTCATAAGCCTGGTGGGGCAGCAGGAGCATATTCTATTGAAAAACCTGGGTGTTTGCTCTTTGGGTGCCTGTAATCATCTCACATTTTCAGCATTCAGGCTTGGTTGCCTATTGGTAACAACCTTTCCAGCTGCACTGAAAGAGTGATCTCTGAACAAACATGGAAAGGGAGAGAAGATAAAATAGGTGACAGCCAGTGAAGACAGGAACCAGGCTAGGCTGTTGTTTTTTGTTAGGGTTTTCTTTAAATTAATTATTTTCTTTTGGGAAGCCAAGATACATTTGTGTCATGGGGGAGGGGGCCCTTCACGCCTGACCAGACATATGGTGCCTTAGTCCCTGGAAAACTTTATTGCCCTGGTTTCAGATGGGACAGGGTTAATTCTCTTCTCAGTAGGTGGTGCAGGACTGTGTTTTTGGATTCAGTATGAGAAGTGCTTACCCTAAATCAAGGACTTTTCAGTTTCGCATGCTGTGCCAGTGGGCAGGTGTGTAAGAAGCCATTACATCTCTGGGACAGGTGAGCTAAATGATCCAAGTGCTTTGGAGAACATCACGCTCTGTATATAAACTGGAGGAGTTAATTAACAGTTATTAAATTGTTCTTATCTCAACCCATGATTTTTACAGGGTTTTTTTCTGGTCCTCCTCCCCATCCCACTGCAGGATGGGTAGTGAGCAAGGGGCTGTGTGGTACATGATTGCCAGCTGGGGTTAAATCATGGCATTTATCTATAAACACAGATACCTTGCAAACTTAATTTCTATGTGTTCCTTTCCAGCCACATTCAAAGAGGAAACATGCAGAATTCCTAAGATCTTGCCTCAGAAGACCTTGGGAATAAACAGTAGTATTCCCAAACACAACTTCAAAAGAAAAGGGCATTTCTGTGGCTGGTAGTCCTAGCACAGACAGGGGAAAGTATGTCAGTAGGGCTTTGTGGTGTTCTTGGGTGGTGGTGTTTTGCTCTGTGACCCTAATACATGTAACATAGCTGGAAACACAGGGACAGTGACAGAGCTTTGCTCCAGCAAAGACCTTGGCATGAGCTGCCTGTACCCATCTGTGATGACTTTACTGCACTGCTGATGCCTTCAGCACCTGTCTGCTTGATGCAGTGACTTCTCTGGGTTAATGCTGCCTCTGTAATGCATTGATTGCTTGATCAGAAAAATTACCTGTTCCTTCTTGCAGGGATCAAACTGTTGCTGAGGTCAATGTGCTGAGACCATTGTTAATCTTTTCATTACCAGTCTTTTACAGACATTTTATTGTAGGCCACTAATGAAGTCAGCCAATTAATCTGCTGCCCCTTGGTCCTCCTCAGACCCGCCTTTTCCTGTAGTACAGTAGAGGTTCTAACCTATAAATAATGATCCATAATATCTGCTATGAGCAAGCCGAGGAAGGGCACAGCAAATACTGTTATCTGTTCTTGCTTTGACCACCAAATTTCCCAGTATCACTTCTGAGCCCCTCTGAGTTGTCAACCAGTCCTTACTAATACCTCATCTGTCAGGCTGACATGAAGCTGGTCGAAGCCTGGAGATGGATACTTTGGATTTTGGCCAGAGTGGTGACCAGACTGACACATTTCCCATTTAACTTCTTGAAACAAGGGGTTTCGTGGGAGTTTGCACTGAAGTGATTAAAAGGCTTTGTCACTGGGGCCACATGAGCCCATATTTTACCTACAAATGGTCCTGCAAAGGAGGAACCTGTTTGAAATGGGGCTGGTGCAACTTTTGTGCATGGCCACTGCTGCTCATACAGAGGGCTGGGATCCTTTTAAGGGCTGGACCTTAAGAGTGTGAATGGGACAGTTGTCCTTGCTTGTAGTACTAATTGTTGCACTACTCTATGACATTATCAAGTAGTAGGTAGAAATGCAAAGCGCCACCAGAGTGCTCTCTGACCTGCTAAGGTGTTGCTGCCAAAAAACACCGGTAAAACTGTTTGCAGCAACGGCGGCTGGAAACAACAGCTTTAAACACATTAAACAACATTTTAACACACATAAAATTACTTTGTAGTTGCACTGGCTGTGAAAACTTGGAAGAATTTGTCTTGTTAAGACTTTGCTTTTGTGTGGCTGCCTTTCCCTGGGACTCATCATCCAGGGTGGGCTGGAGAGGAACTTAATCAGAATGACTGTGTGATAGCTGAGTAGTGCCCAGCGTCTGTGCGGAAAGGGGCATCTACATCCTGGAAAAGCAGCAGTATCTGAACAGAATGGCTCAGGTGCTGGGAAAAAAAGGAAGGGAAAGGGCAAGCACCAGAGGGTGTTCTAATAGTTTTCCATTATTCATCAAGGCTGTTTTAAAGCAAAATGCCTGACTAAGGCCAGTTTGAAGAGGGAAGAGAGAAGACTGCAAGGGGTTTGGGAGTCCCTCATGTTAGGGAACCATGTTTTTTTTTTTTTTTTAAGTGAGGGAAGAGGAACACATGAAGTAGAGGGAAACAGGTATAACTCTTCCTTCCTGATGTGATTCTTAGTTGGTACCAAGAGGTGGTAACAGCCCAGCTGTTGGTTTACACCAGAAGGGTGAAATCCAAACCATCCACTGCCCCCCCATATGCTGTGTGTGGATTGGGACCATGGTCTGACAGTGACCAGTTGCAGCTGGGAGGTTTTGGGCTATTCTTCCTTGTCGTCCCCAGCCCTCCCCCACTGCTTGTTGTGCCTGGTCTGTATTCCATCCCAGAGACCTGGGAAACAAGCAGGCACCTTAATTTATAGGGGAAAAAAAACCAACGTACAGGGTGGTGGAGGGAAGAGGGGTATGAGTGGAAATGAGTTGTGCTGATAAGCCTTCCGACTGTATTTTATTTTACCGGGGCTCTTAACAAACAATCTTTATAAAATGCAAACC